TAGGATTTGTATGAATTCACAAGTTACATTTAAGTCTTTTATCCATTTTGAGTTTATTCTTGTGTATGGTGTAAGTTGATGGTCTAGCTTTATTTTTTTGCAAGTAGCTGTCCAATTTTCCCAACACCATTTATTGAAGACACTGTCTTGGCTCCACTGTATGCTCTTGCCACCTTTGTGAAATATTAATTGAGTGTATTGTCTTGGGTCCATTTCTGGGTTCTCTATTCTGTTCCATTGATCTATCTGCCTGTTCTTGTGCCCATATCAGGCTGTTTTGATTACAGTGGCTTTGTAGTATAACCTGAAATCTGGTAATGTGATCCCTCCTACTTTGTTTTTCTTTTTCAAGATTTCTGTCACTATTCAGGATTTTTCTTGGTTCCATATAAACTTTTGGAGTGTTTGTTCTAGTTATGTGAAGTATGTCGTTGGTATTTTAATGGGGATTGCATTGAATCTATATATTGCTTTGGGTAGTATGGACATTTTAATGATGTTAATTCTTCCAATCCATGAACAAATTATGTGCTTCCACTTTTTAGTATCTTCTTCTATTTCTTTTTTCAATGACCTGTAGTTTTCTGTGAAGAGGTCCTTTACTTCTTTGGTTAAGTTTATTCCTAGGTATCTTAATTTTTTTGCTGTGATTGTCTTTTTAGTTTCTCTTTCTGTGAGTTTATCATTGGTGTATAAGAATGTTATTGAGCTCTGGGAGGTTTGGCTCAGTGATTAGAGCTTCAGCCTGTGGTCCAGAGAGACCTGGTTTGGTTCCTGCTACGGGCACATACCTCGGTTGCAGTTTGTCCCCGGTCCTGATTTGGTCGTGCGGGTGGCAACCACTCGATGTGTCCATTTCAAATTGATGTTTCTCTCTTTCTCTCCCTTCCACTCTCTCCCTCCCACTCTATCTGAACAAAAGTGGAAAAATGTCCTCAGGTGAGGATAAAAAAAAATAAAAGAATGCTGTTGATTCCTTGACATTAATTTTGTATCCTGCTACTTTGCCAAATTAATTTATTAAGTCTAGTAGATTTTTGATGGAGTCTTTAGGGTTTTCTATGTATAGTATCATATCATCTGTGAATAATGACATTTTCACTTATTTATTTCCAATTTGGATCCCCTTTATTTTTTCTTCATGTCTGATTGCTGTGGCTAAGACTTCCAGTACTATGTTAAATAAGAGTGGCGAATGTGGGCATCTTTTTCTAGCTCCCATTCTTAAGGGGAATGCTTTTAGTTTTTGCCCATTGAGTATGATGTTGGCTGTATGTTTTTCATATATGGCCTTTATTATATTGAGATATGATTCCTCTATTCCCACATTGCTGAGTGTTTTTATAAAAAATGAGTGATGGATTTTGTCAAATGCTTTTTTAGCATCTATTGATATGATCATATGGTTTTTATCTTTCCTTTTGTTTATGTGGTGTATCACATTTATTGATTTGTGAATATTGTACCATCCTTGCGTGCTTGGGATAAAACTCACTTGGTCATGATGAATAATTTTTTTGATATATTACTGGATCTGATTTGCTAATATTTTGTTAAGGATTTTGGCATCTGTGTTCATCAGGGATATTGGCCTGTAGTTTTCTTTCTTTGTAGTGTCTTTTTCTTGTTTTGGAATTAGGTTTATGCTGGCCTCATGAAATGAGTTTGGAAGTGTTCTATCCTCTTAGATTTTTTGGAATAGTTTGAGGAAAATGGGTATTAGATCTTCTTTGAATGTTTGGTAATACTCCCCCATGAAGCCATCTGGGCCTGGGGTTTTGTTTGCTGGGAGTTTCTTGATTACACCTTCAATTTTCTTAGTTGTTATTGTTCCATTCAAGTTTTCTATCTCTTCCTATCCTACGTCTTTTGTTTGGAACATTTAAGCCAGTTAGTTTTAAGGTAATTATTGATAGATAGTTATTAGTTGCCATTTTAATTTTATGCCTGTGTCCCTCTCTCTCTGTGTTTCTTCTTCTTACAACAGTCCCTTCAGCATTTCTTGCAGTGCTGGTTTGGTGGTAGTAAATTCCTTTAGTTTTTTTTTTTTTTTCATCTGTGAAACTCTTTATTTCTCCTTCAATTTTGAATGATAGCCTTGCTGGATAGAGTAGTCTTGGATTCAGACCCTTGCCTTGCATTACTTTGTACACTTCAAGCCACTCCCTTCTGGCCTGCATTGTTTCTATTGAGAAATCAGTTGAAAGTCTAAAGAAAGCTCCCTTGTAGGTAACTTTCTGTTTCTTTCTTGCTTCCTTTAAGATTGTTTCTTTGCCTTTAATGTTTGCCATTTTTATTATGATGTGTCTAGCTGTGTGTCTTCTGGGGTTCATCTTGCTTGGGACTCTCTGTGTTTCCTGGACTTGTGTGACTTTTTCCTTCACCAGTTTAGGGAAGTTTTCTATCATTATTTCTTCAAATAGGTTCTCTATTTATTTCTCTGATTCTTCTCCTTCCAGTATCCCTGTAATGTGAATGTTGTTACATTTTGTATTGTTCCATAGCTCCCTTAAACTTTCCTCCTGCTTTTTAAATTTTTTTTTCCATTTGCTGCTTTATTTGAGTGTTTTTCTCTACCTTGACTTTTAAGTTGCTGATTCAGTTTTCGGTTTCTTCTAATCTACTATTAAACCTTTCTAAGGTATTTTTCATAACAGCTATGTCATTCTTTATTTCCTCTTGATTTTTATGCATAGCCCCTACTTCTTTTTTTAAGCTGAAGTAGTTCCCAGTGAGCGCTTCATAATTCTTATTAAGTTGCTTGTAGTTCTCACCAAATTGTTTTAGCACCCTTAAAATCATTGCTTTGAATGTTTTATCTGACAAGTTGCTGTCTTCCATTTCCTGTAGTTCCTTTTCTGGTGATTCCTCTTTTTTTTTCCTTTGGGTCTTGTTTCTTTGTCTCCCATTTTAGCTGCCTGGTAGCTCTAGACCTGCTGAGGGATGTTTGGATGTGTATGCAGCTCACTGTGTATCAAATAAGGTTACTGTGCCTCCCAGACTGTTTTGTTGTGTGTCGCCTCTTGCCTGCTGTGGATCTTGGAAGATTGACTACTGGGGGCTGGTATTGTTGTGTCCTGATAGGTGCTGCTGCTGGATCATGTGGAGCCCTTTGGAGCTGTGTTTCCAGCTGGTCGCTGGTGCCACCTGTAGCTATATAGCTCAGGCCCTGTTGGAGCCGCGCTCCCTGCCTGTACCATGGGCAGCTGGATCACACAGTCCCTTTGGAGATCCAGCTCTATGCCTATCTTGTGGACAGCTGGGCTGCACAGGCCTCTCTGGTCCCTCAGCACCCTGCAGGTCTGGGGGGTAAATGGATCACACAGTCCCTTTGGAGACCTGGCTCTATGCCTATCTTGTGGGCAGCTGGGTCGCACAGGCCGCTCTGGTGCCCCCACATCCTGCAGGTCTCATGGGTAACTGGATCACACAGTCCCTTTGGAGATGTGGCTCTATGCCTATCTTGTGGGCAGCTGGGTTACACAGGCCTCTCTGGTGCCCCCGCACCCTGTAAGTTCTGTGGGCAGCTGGATCGCACTGGTCCCTCTCAGGCTCTGGTTTCCCACCATTCTTGTGGGCCACTGGATAGCACAGGCCTCTGTGGAGCCCCAGGTCCCACCACTGGCAGCTGGGGAGTGCTGCTGCCCCATGGGGCTCAACTCCTGCTCAGCCTTTGCTGTAGATTTTGGGGATGGGTCTCAGCTGCTGGTCTGTGCTTCTGTTGCCTGGGGATGGATGTCTGCTCCCAAGCCTCTGTTGCTGGGGGTATATCTCGACTTTGATCCAGCTGTTACTATGGGGGATGGTGCTGGGCTCCAGGCCATTTGTGGCTTCTGCAACTGGCACCTTGGCAGCTCCACTACTGTGCACTGGTCTGTGTTGACACAGGGTGTCCACTGGTCCGATGGTGCCAGGTGCACTGGTGGGATCACGTTGCTGGGCCCTAGCCACTCCCACTGCCTCCTCCCAGGGAAGACCCAGGATCTTCCAAAATGGTGGGATCTCTTGCAGCACAGGGAGAAGTACCGTGAAGAGCCACTTACTGCAGTAACCTGTTGCTCCCCGTCCACAGCACAGGAACCTTCTGCTCCATGTCTCAGCACTGCACAAGTTTGGTCATCCACCTTTATGTCCATTCACACTCTCTCATACACTAGTTCACTCTCATGCACTCACCCTCCCTCAGGTCCTGCCTGCGGCCATCTTTCCTAAAATCTATTTGACCTACCTTTAAGTCTACTATTCTTTCCTTGACAATATCTAATCTACTAGTAAGTCCATTGAAGGCATTCTTCACTTCCATTAGTTATTTTTGAGGTCTAGCATTTCTTTTAGATACTTTCTTAGAGTTTTCATCTCTCTCATTACATTATCTATCTGTTCTTGATTTTTTCCCCCACTTTTTCATTGGGGCCCTGAACATTATCAATCATAGTTTGATTATCATAGTTGATTACAATCAACCAGTTTATTACCTAAGCAGTTTCTGTTCCAGGTCAGCTGTTCTTGGCCATGAATCTCTAAATTTGCCTTTCTTTCCAGATTTCAGGTATTGAAGATACATATTTTGACTGTTGTATTTGAATGGACTCATCTTGTTAGCTGGATTTTGCATATGTGTTCTTCTCACATGCAAATCAATCTTGACTCTAAAATTAAAATTGGTTCTTAAGCCCTTTTTAGAAAGTTTCTAGAGAGATTTTGGGAAAGAAGAAAGAGCTTTGCATTGTATTGTGTATTTAGTGATTTTTTCTTAAGTTCTGTTTTATTTCTTGAGTTGATGACAAGTTTTTGTATTTACAAAAGGCAACTTTGAAAAACCTTATCATTCCTTTTACCTATGATTTTTAGTTTATGTTTCAGATTGAAAAAATAGGAAGAAAACTTATGTTGTTTTGGGTGTTTCTTTTCCCAGTGGGACATCAAAGTATTTGCTGGTTAAACTCTCCATTTATTCTGGTACTTTCCCCATGGGATGGATTTATTTCAAAGATGGTTAAGTGACTGACCTATTACCAAATCAGAATGGAAGGAAGAGCACTGCCCCTTTCTGTTAAGGTTAGTGATGGTTCATGTGACCTGAAGGATTTCATGTTCATTCCCTCAAGCCATGGAGATATCTATGTTATAGATACAGCTGCAGTTATAATTGATGAAACTACACAATGTAGTTAATGTAACTAATAACATAAGATTCTGGTCACAATTTTGATGTGTGTGTATTTCCCCCCATACCACCAAGAAATTCTCTGATACCAGCTGAGTGTCCTACAATTCAAATAAATTCTGATGCTTCCTACCTTGAGATAGCATCAGATCCCACAGGTTGAGGTCCCTGTACCACAGTACTGCACCCACTTCAGATGCCAATCACCAGCCTAGGTTGTCACCTGGCCTTCTGATCAGACCCCCTATCCCCTTTGGTTTGATTGGTTTGCTAGAGCAGCTCACAGAACTCAGAAAATCCATTTACTCATTAGGTTACCAATGTATTACAAAGGATATTGAAGAATACAAGTCAACAGACAGATGATGAAATACAGAGGGTGAGGTCCTGAACAAAGGAGCTTCTGTCTGTTCTCCTGAAGTTTGGGGCTCGGCATGGTGGCTTATATAAGTGTTCTGGTTCCCCAGTCTGAGGGATCTCCAAAGCCCCTCATTTTGGGTTTTCACTGAGGCTCATTTCAGAGGCACAGTTGATTAAATTATTGGCCATTGGTGATTGATTCAAACACCAGCCCCCCTACTCTGCCAAGAAATTGGGGTGGGCCTGAAAGTTCTAACCCTCTATTTATGGTTGGTTCTCCTGAAAACCACCTCTCCCCACCTTTAGGACTTTCCAAGAGTCACCTTATTAACATATACTCAGCTGTGGTTTAAAGAGGCATGTTATAAATACCAAGATATTCATTTCACCTTTATGGCTCTGTATCTATTTCAGGAACTGAGGACAAGAGACAAAATATTATAACAAAAAATGTTCCCATTGCTTTTGCTTTTATCACTAAGGAAATTCCAAGGGTTTTGGGAGCTATAAGCCAGCAACTATGGACAATAACAAAATATAAATTTTTATAAATCACAGTATCACAAATGGTTAATGTTAAGAAAGAAGGATATAATTTGTCATGTACTGAATTGTGTTTCCCCCACATTCATATGTTGAAGCCCTAATCCTCAATGAGACTATATTTGGAGATAAGGCCTTTAAGGAGGTGATAATAGTTAAATGATGTCATAGGGTGGAGCCCTGATCCAATAGGACTCACATTCTTATGAAAGAGGCAATGATACCAGATATATATCTATATATCTATATCAAGCATGAACAGAAGAAAGGCCATGTGAGAACACACTGATAAGGTGGCCATCTGCAAGCCATGAAGACAGGTCTCCCCAAAATCAAGTCAGATTTTGGACTTTTAGCCTCTAGAAAATAAATGTCTGTTGTTTGAGTTACCTATTCTATATTTTGTTAAGGTAGCCATACCAGGTTAATACATCTATGCTGCTGCATAGTTTGTAAATCAATCTTTCAATGGCTGCAATGTTGGTCATTTTATCAGAGTTTTCCAGAAGATTATTGAATAAGATGCAAGTCATGGAAATGAGGGACAATATAATAAACCAATGAACAAACAAATTGTATTCTGTGGTCAAGTAAGTTTGGAAATCATGGGGCTAATCAAACTTAAGAAGTCTTTATTGCTTTATAGCATTCTGGAACCTTTACTATACTAAAGACTCTTGTCAACCTTCAGGAGGCTGCACTGGTGTACAGCATTTCTCTGAAGTAGTATTCTATGGCTCATGGTTCTAAAAACTAAATTTTTACATGTTTACCAAATTATTTTTCTGTTTGGCATCTAAACTATTTTATTAATACACTATGATGAAGGGATAAATAAATAAATTATTATGCTCTCTTTGCAGTGTAGATTTGGGTTAGCACTGTACTTGTAATAAGTAATGAAGCTATATGGAATCCATCTAAGGGTTTTTATACTTAACTGGACTTTCCAAGATTATAACTTACTGAATACCTGTTATTTTCCATGAGTTTAGAAAAGGGCCTGGTTAAAGTTAGAAATAGATCCTTTAAGATTTCTATGAAATACTTTTAATGCTGAAACAGTTTAATTTAGACATGTTCTTTGGGGGATTGGAAGGGAGAGTGATATGGATTTAACACTAGAAGGAGAAATATAATCTAGAGTTGCTCAACAATCTTTATCCAAGAATATGTTTTTGTGTGTATTTTATTTTATTTTTTTAGAATGTATGTGTTTGGAGGTGGATAATAAGGGGGTAAAGAAAGGGTTGTTGTAAAATGGCAATAAATAAGTACATATCAATAATCACCTTAAACGTAAATGGATTGAATGCTCCCATAAAGAGACACAGAGTAGCTGATTGGATAAGAAAGCATGACTCATCTATATGTTGTTTACAAGAGACCCACCTCTCAACGAAAGACTCACATAGGTTGAAAGTGAAGGGATGGAAAAAAATTTTCCAAGCAAATGGAAAGCAAAAAAAAGCTGGGGTAGCAATTCTCATATCTGATAAAATAGATTTCAAAATGAAGACCATAACTAGAGACAAAGACGGCCACTACATAATATTGAAAGGATCTATCCAACAGGAAGATATAACCTTGATAAACATATATGCACCCAATATAGGAGCACCAAAATATATTAAAAATCTTCTGGAGGACTTCCAAGGAGAAATCGACAACAATACAATCATAGCAGGGGACTTCAACACCCCGTTGACAGCACTGGATAGATCCTCTAGGCAAAAAATTAGCAAGGAAACAGAGACTCTAAATGAAGCACTAGACCAAATGGATTTAATAGATATCTACAGAGAATTACACCCCAAAACTACAGAATACACATTCTTCTCAAGTGCACATGGGACATTCTCAAAGATAGACCACATGATAGGACACAAACTAAATCTCTACAAGTTCAAGAAGATTGAAATCATATCAAGCATCTTCTCAGATCACAATGGCATGAAACTAGAAATCAATTGCACAAAGAACATGCAAAGACATTTCAACACATGGAGGCTAAATAGCATGTTATTAAACAATGAATGGGTCACCGAGGAGATCAAGGAAGAAATTAAAAACTTCCTGGAAACCAATGAAAATGAACACACAACAACACAAAATCTATGGGATGCAGCGAAAGCAGTTCTGAGAGGGAAGTTCATAGCACTACAGGCCTACCTCAAAAAACAAGAAAAATTTCTAATTGACTGTCTAACCTCACAACTTAAAGAATTAGAAAGCAAACAAAAAGAAAACCCCAGAGCAAGTAGAAGGAAGGAATAGTAAAGATCAGAGCAGAAATAAATGACATAGAGACCAAAAAACAATTCAAAGGATCAATGAAACAAAGAGCTGGTTTTTCGAAAAGATAAACAAGATAGATGGACCCTTAGCTAGACTCACCAAGAAACAAAGAGAGAGAACCCAAATACACAAAATCAGAAATGAAAGAGGAGAAGTAACAACCAACACCACGGAAATACAAAAGATCGTTAACAACTACTATGAACAACTATATGGCAATAAATTCGACAATCTCAGCGAAATGGACAAATTTCTAGAAACACACAGTCTCCCAAAACTATTCCCGGAAGAGATAGAAAACTTGAACAGACCAATAACAACTAAGGAAATTGAAGAGGTAATCAAGACTCTCCCAGCAAACAAAAGCCCAGGCCCAGATGGTTTCACGGGGGAGTTTTACCGAACATTCAAAAAAGAACTAACACCCATTCTCCTCAAACTATTTCAAAAAATTCAAGAAGAAGGAAGACTTCCAAACACGTTCTATGAGGCCAGCATAATTCTAATTCCAAAACCAGAAAAAGACACTACGAAGAAAGAAAACTACAGGCCAATATCCCTGATGAACATAGACGCCAAAATCCTGAACAAAATACTAGCAAATCGGATCCAGAAATACATCAAAAAAATTATTCACCATGACCAAGTGGGATTCATTCCAGGGATGCAAGGCTGGTACAATATTCGCAAATCAATAAACGTGATACACCACATAAACAAAATGAAGAATAAAAACCACATGATCATATCAATAGATGCTGAAAAAGCATTCGACAAAATCCAGCATCCATTTCTGATAAAAACGCTCAGCAATGTAGGAATAGAGGGATCATATCTCAACATAATAAAGGCCATATATGAAAGACCTACAGCCAACATCATACTCAATGGACAGAAACTAAAAACATTTCCATTAAGAACAGGAACAAGACAGGGATGTCCACTTTCGCCACTCTTATTTAACATTGTACTGGAAGTCTTAGCCACAGCAATCAGACATGAAGAAAAATAAAAGGGATCCAAACTGGAAAGGAGGAAGTGAAATTGTCATTATTTGCAGATGACATGATATTGTACATAGAAAACCCTAAAGACTCCATCAAAAATCTATTAGACTTAATAATTGAATTTGGCAAAGTAGCAGGATACAAAATTAACGTCAAGAAATCGACGGCATTCTTGTACATCAATGATGAACTCACAGAAAGAGAAACTGAAAAAACAATCCCATTTACCATCGCTCCAAAAAAATTACGATACCTAGGAATAAACTTAACCAAAGAAGTAAAAGACCTATTTGCAGAAAACTACAGGTCATTGAAAAAAGAAATAGAGGAAGATATAAAAAAGTGGAAGAACATACCCTGTTCATGGATTGGAAGAATTAACATAATCAAAATGTCCATACTACCCAAAGCAATCTATAGATTCAATGCAATCCCCATCAAAATACCAACGACATATTTCATAGAACTAGAACAAATACTTCAAAAGTTCATATGGAACCAAAAAAGACCCCGAATAGCCACAGCAATCTTGAAAAAGAAGAACAAAGTTGGAGGGATCACAATACCAGATATCAGGTTATACTACAAAGCGACTGTAACCAAAACAGCCTGGTACTGGCACAAGAACAGGCATATAGACCAGTGGAACAGAACTGAAAACCCAGAAATGGACCCAAGGCAATACGCTCAATTAATATTTGACAAAGGTGGCAAGAGCATACAGTGGAGTAAAGACAGCCTCTTTAATAAATGGTGTTGGGAAAACTGGACAGCTACATGCAAAAAAATGAAACTAGACCATCAACTTACACCATACACAAAAATAAACTCGAAATGGATAAAAGACTTAAATGTGACCCGTGAATCCATAAAAATTCTAGAAGAAAATGTAGGCAACAAAATTTCGGACATCATACGGAGCAGAATTTTCACTGATACATCACCTAAGGCAACAGAAATAAAGGAGAAAATGAACACATGGGACTACATCAAACTAAAAAGCTTCTGCACAGCAAAAGAAACAATCATCAAAATGGAAGGGCAACCCACTGTATGGGAGAACATCATTGCCAATGATGTATCAGATAAGGGGTTAATTTCCAGTATATACAGAGTGCTCATACAACTCCACAAAAGGAAGACAAAGAACCCAATTAAAAATGGGCAGAGGAGCTGAATAGACACCTCTCCAAACAGGACATACAAATGGCCAAGAGACATATGAAGAAATGCTCAACATCACTAATCATCAGAGAGATGCAAATTAAAACAACTATGAGGTATCACCTCACACCTGTCAGAATGGCCGCCATCAACAAATCATCAAACAACAAGTGTTGGCGAGGATGTGGAGAAAAGGGGACTCTAATACACTGCTGGTGGGAATGCAGACTGGTGCAGCCGCTATGGAAAACAATATGGTGCTACCTCAAAAAATTAAAAATTGAACTTCCATTCGACCCAGTGATCCCACTGCTGGGAATATACCCTAAGAAGCCTGAAACACCAATCAGGAAGAATATATGTACCCCCATGTTCATAGCAGCACTATTTACAATAGCTAAGATCTGGAAACAGCCCAAGTGTCCACCAGTAGACGAATGGATCAAAAAGCCGTGGTACATATACACAATGGAATACTATGCAGCGGTAAGAAAGAAAGATCTCTTATCCTTTGAGACGACATGGAGGGACCTGGAAAGTATTATCCTAAGTGAAAGAAGCCAAGCAGAAAAAGACAAATACCACATGATCTCACTTATATACGGAATATAATGAACATAACAGTCTGAGGAATACAGTAGACCCAGACACATGGAAGTAGGGCACAGACTGACATCCCTCAGAAGAGGGGATGGGGGGGGGGGGTGGGAAGAGATAAACCACAGAACTTATATGCATGTATGCATGACCAATGGACATGGACAACTAAGCCGGGGACAGGGTGGAGGGGGGGTGGGGTGGGGGGTGCCAATGGGGTAAAAAGGTAAAATATCTGTAACAAAAAAAAATAAAAAAAATAAAATAAATAAAAAAAAAAAAAAAAGAAAGGGTTGTTGTGAGATCTATGGGAATGGTTAATGGGTTACAGGCCTCTATTCCTCTTTCTTGGTTCTCAGATGATGAGCACTTGTTATATGTACCTGTGAAATTAAAAGCATACACAGAACTTATATGCATGTATGTTTAACCAATGGACATAGAAAACAATGCTGAAGATGTGGGGGGGATCGGGAGGAGGGTGTCAATGGAGGAAAAAGGAAAAATATGTGTAACAAAAATAATAATTAAAAAAAAGAAATTGAGAGCAAACACTGACCCCAATAAACCTTGTAAATCAGTAGTGCATAATGTGCTCTGCTTTCCTAGATTTACCACTCTGGACTCCAGAATTTTGCTTGAGGAGGTAAGTCAAACATCTCTCGCCATCTACATCTATACCATATCTATATCATATTGATAATCTCTCTTTCTCTATCTATCTCTATCTCTATCTCTATCTCTATCTCTATCTCTATCTCTATCTCTATCTCTATCTCTATCTCTATCTCCATCAATTTTCATATCTGCATCAAAGCCTATAACTAGTGCTTTCATTTGGGAGATTTTAAAGGAAGCAATGTGATTAATTCTGATGATTTAAACTGCCGTATGAAGTTAAAACTATAAATACTCTGGTGTTTACATTCAGTATGATGTCAATAAATGTTAGCTCCAAAGTAGTAATTCTCACAGTGTTCCAGACACTGCGGTGGCTGCCCCAAGGCAGCTACACCACTTTGTGCAGTGCTGGGCTCAGGGCCATGCATTTCTTCTACAGTCTCTGCTGCAGCTGCCTAACCCAGGTGAGACTTCATTGTAAATTGATTTGCATTCTGTGGCATCTCAGCAGGATAATTATTTTATTTTAAGCATAATAATGTATAGTCACATAAATGCATTATAATATTTCAGTCAATGGCAGACCACATATGGGATGGTGGTCTCATGAAATTATAATACAGCTGAAAAATTCTTATCACCTAGTGATGTAGTAGTGCATCACATTATAGTTGCCTGCAGTAATTAGTACAGTAACATGCTGTTCAGGTTTATAGCCTAGGAGCAATAGACTGTACTATATATATAGCCTAGGTGTATAGTAGGTTATACCATCTAGATTTGTGTAAGTGTATTTTGTGATGTTTGCACAGCAGAAAAATTGCCTATGGATGCATTTCTCAGAATGTATCCTATCATTAGGTAACATAATAGCTGTATATACTAGCAATGCATAGACTGGGGTTCAGTTTCTTTTCAATTAAGAAACTTTTAACTGTAAGTGGCCAAGAAAATAGTTTCTGTTTCAATATTATCTACTTCTCTTCAGTGTCAAGATTTTGATAACTCTCCTTAATGTGAAAGAAATGATCAATAATCAATATGCATAACCAATCAAGCACCACTTTCACTACCAGGTCTTTTTAATTGACTTCTTCAGGAACACTCTCCATAGACCTGGACTCACTTGTTCATTACTGTGGGATGACTCTTTCCCATTTCCCTCTGACCCACTCTACATTGAGTGTCCTGTGCTTTGTATTTGTGTACATTTGATGTTCTTTTCTACTTCGACAAAAAGAATTACTTCCTTGTGGATTTTAGCTGGGCAGAAGAATGAATCCCATTTCCCAGACATAGTTTATAGTGCCCATCCACCAACACTCCGTTCTAAAGGACATGCCTCAGCCCAGGTCCAAGGGGCAGCAGCCATGTTCCCCATGTGCCCTCTAACCACAACTGTATATTTGAGAACATGGCTCAAAGCAGATTGATGGGACACAAAACTTGGTGTTGTGTTAGGGTAGAGAAATAATGTGTCCTGAAAGTAAGAAGCATGGGCTATTTATTGTGTGTGTTTCTGTGATGAGCCGCCACCTGGCCTGCAGTCTCAGCACAGTGAAATTTCGACAGGACTCTCAGGTACATTGCTTCCTTTACAGTAATGTTGTTTGATGATAATATCCTTAAAAATACCTGAACTCTTTTTTTAACTTGTGGCTTTATGATAACCCTATCATAAAAGGGTTTATTGACATTGATGACATTAAATATACAGTTCACATAGCATAAAGAGTTATAGATACAACCATAAATAATATAATGTGGTCCTACTATTAACACCAATCTCCTGCATGAAAATGAAGAAACCCTTCCTCAAGTGTGGCAAAGAAAATGTCTCTTGCTTGTTCTGTATATCCTCTTTTTTTCTTCTTTGTTTCCAGGACATTCTCCTTTCTTTTTTTATTGATAATCTCAGGCAGGTTTGCCTGGGGGTGTTTATTGCTTTAAATTGCTTTTATTCAACTCACCTCTTCTTTTTTTTTTAAAGATCAGAACAGATGCCTTTTTAAAAAATTTAAATGTAAAATGTTTAAAAATTTATCTTTATTGTTGAAAGTATAACAGATTTCCCCCCTTTTTCCCCAGTGACGCCCTCCTCTCTGCTCCTGCACGCTCCCCTCCCCACCTTCCCCACACTATTTTCTGTGTTCATTGGTTATGCATATATAATATAAGTTCTTTGGTTTATCTCTTTCCATCCCTCCCTTCCCTCTGAGGTTCATCAGTCTAACAACCAATTTGTACCTCTTAATCTCTTCACTTTTTTCACCCATCTGCCCAACCCCCCTCTTACTTGGCAACCAACAAAAATTTCTCTGTATCTATGAGTCTGTTTCTGTTCTACTTGTTCATTTGGTTAGTAGATTCAGTTGTTGATAAATATGTATTTATTGCCATTATATAGTTCATATTTTTATGTTCTTCTTCAAGAAGATCCTTCAACATTTCATATAATACTGGTTTGGTGGTATTGCCTTTAAAAAAAAAAAGACTTTTTTTGATTTTTAGAGAGAGGTGAAGGAGAGGGACAGAGAGAGAAACATTGATGTGAGAGCAAAACATCTATTGGCTGCCTCCTGTACACCTTCTAATGGGGATCAAGAAGCCCACAACCCAGGCATATGCCCTGATCAGGAATCGAACCATATATAACTTAATGAGGAAATAAATATACCTTAATGAAACCATCACCACAATCCATGCCATAAACATATTCATTACCTCTAAAAGTTTCTTCCTATCTCTTTTGTTATTATTATTACTTTTTTGTGTGTGTGATAAGAACTCTTAAGTATTAGAGGAGGTTATTAAGAGGATGTGACCATGGTTTAACCATGAACTGGTCCTGGGCAATTGGAGGTTCTGCACCATTGCCCTGTTCTTGGAATGTATGTTCTGCCTACAGTTCCCACACTAGGAGCTGTTTCAAAGATGTTGACTTGAGAGGTGGTGTTGAGACCATTTACACAGTATATGTGAAGGAGCCCAGTTAAGGCCTCTATATAAACTTTTAAGATTCAGGCAGGCAAAGGCAGGATCTACACATCTTGTGGCCATCCAAAACAAGCTTTGTGAGTACATTCCCTTGCTCATTAAACCTGCCATATACAAATCTGAAGTGGTCTGCCCCTTTCTGAGGTTACTCCTTGCCCATTATATACAGAGGACAGTTTCAGATTTCACCCAGGTAGCTCCTAAGGTTTCAAAACAACATTAAAATAAGATCTAGTGGAATGGAGGGTGCCAGGGGCTCAGGGGAGGGAAAATGGGGAGGAATTAATAAAAGGGTATACATTTTTAGTTTAAATGATGAATAAGTCCTAGAGATCTACTGTATGGTGTAGTGCCTATAGCTAACAATACTTTAAGATATCCTAAGTAGACATGTTTCTTGTATACCTCAGGTTCTTCTTTTCTGAAATGGCCATTACAATAGTCTAGTAGTAAGGATTAATTAAGACAGCCTGGTGTTTACATTCAGTATGATGTCAATAAATGTTAGCTCCAAAGTAGTAATTCTCACAGTGTTCCAGACACTGCGGTGGCTGCCCCAAGGCAGCTACACCACTTTGTGCAGTGCTGGGCTCAGGGCCATGCATTTCTTCTACAGTCTCTGCTGCAGCTGCCTAACCCAGGTGAGACTTCATTGTAAATTGATTTGCATTCTGTGGCATCTCAGCAGGATAATTATTTTATTTTTCTTATTTTTGGTAGAAAAAAGACGTGTTCTGGGTTGAGTAAGACATGGAAAAGACCCTTTTCTCTCTCAGTTTCCCCCCCACCCCCATACCCACACACTTCAGCAAGTCACTATTTTTCTTATGTTGCACCATCAAACTCCCCTTTGGATGGAGTGGCCTGGGGGATTTAGTGTCTTTGTTGCCTCAAGAACATTAAGTCTACACTTGTATTACCCCAAACAAGTATTCATTTAAAAAAATAAGTCAATGAATTTCTCTACTGAATTACCAACTTTAACTACTTACTACAGGTTTTTTTGTTTGTTTGTTTCTTTTGGTTTTGACAGCTAGCTGTATCCTTTCCCAGATTTTATTGAATTTCCCTCTCTTTTTCTGCATCTCTCCTCACAGGTTCTAATACCCGATGTCATTAAAGTTACACAAATTTAGTTTGGCAGGTATTTTCAAGTTCCTCTTACCCTCTCAAGATATATCATATTCTTATCAAGGAGAGAAACTGAGCTGTTGATCACTTATACTAAGGAGTCAACAGGTTTCATTTCTCTCATTCCAGAAAATTTTTCCACAAGAAAAACAAAGGAAATAATGATGCATAATCTGAATAAGAAAGTGAATCAAGGAATAAAACAGATGTTTAGCAAGTGCCACCGATGTGGCAGTGTGTTAGGTATGGTCCCCTTTTGTATTTATTCACTCCCAGGGACACTGTGATTTGATTATTTTACAGGTTATACTAGATTCACAGAGATGAGCAAACTCAGGTAGTAAGCTAGGATTTTAGACACCAAGCTTGTCTTTTCAGATTTGGCTGCACCTGGCATCATACCAGCTGTGCAACTGACCTGCTCTGAGTATGTACTCATATTGGTGCTGGAGGCTCCAGGGGCTGTGACCCAAAGTACCCAAAGGTACTTCCTGGATGTGCAGTCCTATTTTCTGATGGCAGTTAAGGGACATGAGATGGGAAAGGGTTAACAGACGGTTTGCAGTTTCTTTAAGAACCCTTGCTGACTTTTGTATAGTAAAGTTCCAATTTGGAAGCAACTGTGACATTAATACAGCTCCAGGCTGGTAGAGGATTAGATGAGCACAAAGCTTTATGAGCCTTCAGCTGTGGCACTGGAGGGTGATTCAGCATGTCGGCTGCTGGGCACATAGCTGTTAATTGGAACAAGAGAGAGAAGGAGCCCTGGTTTGGCAGATCAGGTTTAAATGGGTGGATTGTCTGACTGAGACCTTTTCTGTTTTCTCTTGGCTTTGTTTCAATGCTTATAGCCAGACTGTTTTGCTCCCAGATTGACTTTGCATGACTTGAAATGTT